GGCCCGGCCGGGCCACGCCTCCGCCGCCGTCGCACTCACTGTCCCGCAGGCGGCGTTTGAACTCGGGGTCGCCACGCCGCTTCCGGTCAAGATAAACGCAATAGCCTAGGAAGACGACGGCGCCACCGGCCGCCAGGGCCGCCAAGAGGCCGAGGAGGGAGCGGACGGTGGGCATCCGGCCGCGGGCTTCCCACGAGCCAAGCGTTGGGTGCTGGCCGCCGAGCGCGGGGGGCACACCGGCCGGTAGGGGGCGTCAGCGCGGCGCCCATCCAGGCCTCGGGCCGCCTGTGCGCCCGGCCAGAGGCGTGCGGAGCCGCGCGTCGACGCCTGGTAGGCGACAGTGGACACCGCGTCCCAGCGGACGTGTGCGGCGGTCACCGGCCACCGGGTGGCAGAGATCTTTTGGAATCCAGGTCTGTCGCACTCCAGATTCTGAACCCCTTACTCAAACGCCGCCGTTACCCCCCCACCCTGACCCAATACACACTTTCACGGAATCTGATGGGCTGGCGTAATGGGTCCCCCGAAACCTCTTTTCCTTCAGCTGCAAAATAAGTTGATAAGGTCAACGTTGATGGTCTCCTGGGTCACACAGCTGCCTGAACATGAATAGTGTCCCCCAACCTGGGATTCTTTGTCCCACCTCCTTACTTCTCACCACCGGCTCCCCATAACCTAGCAATCCATAGACCCCCCCCCTCCCCGAATCCTCCCCTCCCCCCCTTTGCCCAATAGCTTCAAAAAGGAGGAATTTTGAAACAAAAATACTTAGTCTGGAAGAAACGTTAATTTGCTGGACTGGGTCTGCCAGCCAGAAGTCCTAGAACAAAAAATGGACTGAGACACCCACATACTGGCCCACCTGCTTTCCCTTCTAATGGTTTTATTAGCAGCAGACACCGCCCAGACAAGGGAGGTAAGACTTTATCCCAAATGCCAGAGTTTTCACTTTTATACTAAGCCAAAGAGAATATCACCTCGGTAAGAAATTTTAAGAATGATACTTTTTTTTGTTTTTTTAGGTTATTCAGTCAGTTGTTACATGTGTATAACACATAAGCATTTCCCTGCACTCAGTTTTTTTTTTTATTTTATAACAGTTTATTTTTACATCATTTTGTAATTTTTTCTCCATCCCAGTTGTAATCCCTGCGGGTTTCCCATCACCAAGTCACCCGTGTGCCGTCACCATAATCCCGCCCTGCACTCACAATTTAAAAAGCTAACATGTGTAAGTTGCAGGTAACTTGTTTTTTTTTTTTTTTTTTGAGTACTGTTTCTTCCAGTTATAACTCAGCCTTTTTCTCTGGGAACTTTGGTTGTTGTCAAAGCCGAATGTATACACAAACAGAAGGAAGGATGGCATTAGCATCTAATGTTACTGGTGACTTGAGAGTGATTTTTGGTTCAGAATCTTGATGGGGAGTTTAGCCCAGCTCCCAGTGATTTTTCTACACCCTCTGCTCGAGTTTAAAAAAAAACACTCTGCTGATCCTACTTTACTATCTTCACTTCTCCTGGGCTCATCATTAATTCCTGTAGTGAGAGAAGGTTGAGGCCAGGGAAAGCTGTAGACTAAGTGCATGTTCAGAGAAACAATAAACAGTGATATGATGAAGGCAGGGGAATTATTTCAGCAACTAGAGATAAACATGACTGAAGTTGAAATAGCCACAGAAACCAGGAGAGAATGTCATTGAAAAATTTCAAGCATGTTTTTATGGTTAAGGTAGATTCCCAACCTCCCTCAAATATAGATACCACTCTTGCTAAATTGCTGATTGGAATTTCTATGAAACTTTGATCATTACCCACATTGAAGTAAACATTAATAATTTGGTCATTACCCAAATTGAGGTAGACATTAGTAATTATCACAAAAGCATAGTTCTATGCTGAATGGTGGCTCTTTCTTTTTTTTAACAGCTTTATTGAGCTATGAATTATTATTGAATTGGACATTTCTTTTCCCTGTGTCCACGGGATGGGTGAACATTCAATAACCTTTATTCATAGGGGAAACAGTACTGGGGTTTAGGATTTCTTTTTATTTTTTTTACATCATTCATTGTGTGCATTTTTCCATCTCAGTTGTAGTAACGGTGGGCTTCTCACCACCAATTCACCCACGTGCCATCACGACAGTCCAATGCACACTTCCCACTCCAATTTTTATCCCATTTCCCTTTCCACCAGATAACATGTCTCTGCTCTGGTTTATAATTGTTCATTGTTTGTTTTTACTTTATTATATTTGATTCTCTTTCCCCCACCTCCCCATCCCTTATGCTCCTGCTATGAGTGAAACCATCTGGTATTTTTCTTTTTCTTTCTGGCTTATTTCACTAAGCATGATCCCTTCCAGCTCCATCCATGCTGCTGCCAAAGGCATGCGTTTATCTGTTTTGATTATTGAGTAATATTTCATTGTGTATATGTATTGCATCTTTTTAATCCAGTCACCTATTCTCAAACATTTGGGTTGATTCCACATCTTTCCTATTATAAATAATGCAGCAATAAACATGGAGGTGCAGGTATCCTTTTGAATCGATGTTGTGTTCTTTGGGTAGATGCCTAGGAGTGGGATTGCTGGTTATATGGAAGCTCTTCTTAGCAGTTTGAGAAACCTCCAAACAGCTGTCCATAGTGGTTATAACAGTTTGCATTCCCTCCAACAGTGCAGGAGAGTTCCTTTTTCTCCACATCCTCACCAACATTTGTTGTTGCTAGTTGTTTTAAGATGTGCCATTCTCACTGGTGTGAGATGGTATCTCATTGTGGCTTTAATTTGCATTTCCCTTATTACAAGTGATGTTGAACGTTTTTTCATTAAATTGGTTATTTTTAAAGTGTATGATTAGATGTTTCACATAAGTGAAACGATCACCAACATCTAGAAATCCTTATCTATTAAAGACCCCTAAAGTTTCCGCAGATTTTGCAGAAATATATTATCTGCCAATTTGTTTTTTTTTTCTTACTCATTTTTAAGATTTATTCACATTGAAATATTTGGCTCTGGAGTTCATTCATTTTAACTACCCTATAGTTTTGAATTAATGTACCACAGTCATTTATCCATTTTTCTGTCAATAGGAATTTAAGATGGTTCCCTTTCTTTGGTCGATACAAACCATATAAATTTCTTTGAGCATATATGATATGAGAATACACAGCATAGGGTATATGGAGCTGTTGGGACCAAGGGCAAAGGAGGGTGTCCACCATTACTAGGTATCATTAATTTACATTAATATTTCAGTGTGTGCGAGGTTCCATTTTTTTTTTTTTTTTATGCATACAGAACTAGGGTATAGGCCAGAGGCATGGGGGAGGAGGATGAGAAGATTCACCAAAGACAAAGTGTGTGAGGAGGCGAGCAGGCAGAGTAACTGCAATACCCTGCCAAAGGGAGCAGTGGGCAAGACAGGAGAGGTCTGCCGTGCCATGTGGGTCACCTCCCTCGCTGGGGATCAAACTTGTGTTGCAGTGGGTGTGGATAGCTTCATAGTGCCGCGCTTTAACCAATTGTGTCATGAAGGAGGGTCCTCCCATTTCTTTATATATTTTATATATTTCTTTCCAACACTTGGAAGTTACTAGGTATTAAAATCATTAATCATTATGGAAATGCAAATAAAGAGCACAGTGTAATACCAATACACATCTAGCTGAATGATTTGGGTGGAGGAGTCCCTAAAAATATGGAGTGCTGGCAAGGATGTAGTGAACTAGAACTCTTGTATACTGCTAGTAAGAATATGAGATAGTAAGTCATACAATCTAGCAATCTCACTCCTAGATTTACTCAAGGGAAGTGAAAATGTATATTCACACTAAAATCTATGTGAATATTTATTGTGGCTTTATTAATAATTATTAAGTGTCTTGGCATAAAGACATTTTAAATTGTAATGCACAGATTTTATTTGAAAGCAGGTTGGCTACTGGTGAAAGAGAACTTCTTAGAGCAATTAGCATGTGGTGAGAAAGGTGCCCCAAATCTGAATGCATTACAACTATCTTGTCAAAATTTAGCAATTACAGGACCAATCCTGGAGATGATGACTACATCCAGGAAGTAGTTAATTCTAAAAATCACATGAGTTGCCCAGACACATTCATCCTTGGAAAACAAGAGAAACTTCAGAAAGGTGTTATCCTTCATCAGAGACCAAGAAATAGTACTATGAAAGATAATACCTATGTCTTGGAATATAGATGAAAAAATTAGTTACAGGATTTGCAGATAAAATATAGGCTTGCCCAGTTAAGTTTGAATTTCAGGAGTCATTTTTGAATGGGACACATTTATACTAAAAAATTATCTGTTGTCTGACATTCAATTTTAATTGGGTGTCCTATATTTTTAGTTGCTCAATCAGGTAACTCTAAGTTGGTGAAATGCTTGAGTCTGATAAGTCTTATTTAATGCAGGTTAGCCTTACAAAGAAATCCAATTACTGCTGCAGAATAATCATTTATTATATTTACATGGAAGTTCCTTAACTTTCACAGTAGAATTCTTCAAAATAAATTTTTCAGAATACACATTACAAAGTGAAGATAGCTTCATCATTATATTAACTATAATCCCAAAATTATAAACACTGCCCTTCTTATTCCATTTAAAAAGATATAATTAGTATATGTGAATAAAAAGTTAGTTTGTGCTTCTGAATAAGGAAAATATTATAATAAAACGTGAAAGACTAAGAAAATATTTTTATTCTGAAACATTAAGCAAGTACTTGTTGGAAATTCCTTACCAGTACAAACTCCATTATAAGAGTCTAATTCACTATTGTAAGTCACTAATGATGCGCCATCACATATGTAGTCTTCATGTAATAGGATAAAAATATGTGTATAACTACATGAAAATAATGCAGGAAATGGAAACAAGGAGAATGAATACGTCATCAACAAATAGTTAAAATTGGGGATTAGAATTTTAAGTAAGTCTCTGCTTTACACTTTTCAAAAAATATTCAGACTTTTTTTAAATAACTGGCTTTGTACACGAGGCTCATAAATAACATTAAACAACAGCAATTAAATGATAATTTTTCTCAAATTAGGTAAACATTAGTTTTTGACCATTCTTATTATATAGACCAGGCACTTTGTGGGCTATATCTATAACGAAAGAACTGAACATTCCTAATACGGTAGAAAGACACATGTGTAAGTAAACATGATACAAGGCAAGTTATTAAATAAAGTAAGCTTCAACCTTGCACAAGATTAAAAATACTTTCAAAGCATGAAAGGAGGGTGATATTCTGTTGGTGGCTCAGGTACTGTAAGCTTTATGGAAAAGTGGCTCTTGACATAGTTCTGGACACATAGGGATAAAAGTGGTATAGCGAACAGGTGCGGGAAGGTCAGAATCAGGTGTAAGGTTTGGGCAATGCCTGAATAGCTCTGCTTGATCTGGCTCTTGTTTCTTCTCTCTCAGGTCTGGCTCATTACCACCATTCTCTCCTCACCCCTGTGCTTGGAGCACTCAATTCTCCATTGCTCTCCTCTCATTTGCCTGACCAATTCATTTTTCTTTTAAGATTTTAATTATTTATGCATACTAGAGCTGGGGTGTAGGCCAGAGGTGTGGGAGGTGAGAGGATCCACTTCACCAGAGTGGGGAGAACAGTTAGACTGAGATACACTGCTAAGGGGAGCAGCAGATGAGACAGGAGAGATCTGCTGCACCATGTGGGTCAGCTCCCTGGCCAGGGATCAAACCTGTGCTACAGTGGCTGCTGATACGTTGATAGCGCTGAAACTTAACCTCTTGTACTACCAGGGAGGCCCTTGTCTAACCAATTTATAATCCTCACTGGATGGCTTTACAGTTGCTTTCTGTCCCAAACATTCACAGTCCATCTATACTTATCAGACCTGCAGTGAAGAATTTATATGTGTTAAATGTTGAATATCTACCACAGTAGGTTATACATTCCATGGTCTTGCTCACTGCTGTGCCTCCTGGCCTTAGCACATAGAAGATTAATAAATCAGTGATGAATGACTTCTCCTAATAGTTTTTATATGTGGTTGAATATAGCTTTAAATATTTTCACAATGTTGATAGCTGTGTTAAATTATGGGGCTAGAAAGGTACATTGTAGGTCTTTGAAGAATGGTATATAAAAGCAAACAAATAGCTTAATCCATATAGATTTCCATAACGTAAAGCAGTTTCATAGAATACATACTATGTATGTGCTTAAGTACAAACATTTTTCTTAGTGAAGGACAGAAAAGCTAGTAAAATAACACAAACAAAAAAAGCATACAATGGAATGCTAAAACAAAAATCTCCGTAATCCTCAAATAACTTGATTTTATATCCACTTCAGATATATCCAGCTTCCTTAGGCAATGTAAGAGCTATCTATTCAAAGCTTAGCTCTACTCAAAATACAACCAACATTTGATTTTAGTATGTTATCAGTATTCACTTACTTTTACAGTTCTGTCCATCCCCAGGTAGAAGTGTCCATAGATAGATCCAATTCAGTGTACATAATTTTGCTCTCTGTAGCAGGTCCATGACCAGATTTATATCAATTAGATGGGACAGTATTCAAGTTGATTAAGTACTTATCTCAATTACTCAACTAAAAGAAATTTTAAAAATATCTGATGTGTAAATTTCAGTTGCCTCCTAGCTCCGAATGGATTAGAATGACACACTTTTCATTTTTATAATCAGTATTAGAAATATTTTATTGTGAATATTTTGAATATGCTTTGTTTTGTGAAGTCTTATTTTCCAACTGTAAGATACTGGCACTTTAGGAAAAAAAAAAAACAATCACTTAAATGAAAACTAAAAATATTAAGCCTATGTTTAAAACATGGCCTTTATTAATACTGCCCACTGAGCTCCATTTTTATTTTACATTGAAATACTTCTGTTTTGCAAAGAAAAGACAGGAAAGTGCATTTTACAAGAGTACTTTTTTTTGTTTTTAATTCTCTGCGAAAATGGAAGGAATCTGAATCACAAGTTCACAATGTAGTAAAATGAAATTAAGAAACATGATTTCAGTAATGCTATGCCATCACTAGTGTTTAGCTCTGACTTTGTTCTTGTAAATCAGATCCTGAAATACAGTCTAGAGCGTCTAGGTTTTTACTCTACAGCATATTAAACACAGAAAAGGAGGTTTAAAAAAAACCCCTTTCAATGTACAAACATGAATTTAAAAACTGATTTTAAAAAATCACTTTTTTACATAATGTATATGGCAAAATTACTTTAAATACATGATTTTGGAATTATTTACAAAATGTATCAGTCTGTGGAACAATTCACAGACAAAGCATACATAGCTTTACTTAGTTGTTGCATCTCAACTTTGGGAGATATAAATTTATTCGGCAGTACAGCAAACATAAAAACTGTGACAAAGTATCTTAAGGGCAACCAAAAATTTCATCCTCAAAACAGTTTAAATACTAGGACTGCCAAAGTTTCTAAATGAGGACATACTTTAATGATCAGATGCCCATTTATAGATCTATACTGTTTGAAGGACTGAGATAGAACTCCCTTCAGTGCAGGTAGAGCTGCTGAATGCAACCTCCTGTAAAAGGGACAGCTGAGAGCTACTGTCATCCAAAGAGTGAATTAACCTAGAATTTTTCTTTTTTTCAATTTTATTAATATTTTAAAAAATACATAAAAATACAACATCCAATGTCTGAATAAATATATTTAACAAGTTGCAAGATAATACCTTATTTTACACAAAATTTTCAGCTTTAGAAATCTTGTTAAATAACTTCATTGTTGTTATATATTTCATTTTTGTCTTTTTGTAACAAAATAAAAACTCTGAAATTACATAGAAAAAAGACAAAATATTTTTGTCAAGGGATAAGATAGTCCACTGAAAACTTATTCACAATTCCACTGTAAACATTAATAAACATTAAAATATTTGCATAATTGTGTGCTCAAAAATCCTATAAAAAGTGGAAGACTTATTACAACTGTAGTTTTCAGTCAACTACACTTCCTTTCACAATTTATTTTGTCCCATTTACACCTTTAAACCTGGGCACACTGCTGAACATATACTTTGGCAGTTCTAAATAGCAAGTGCTTCCACAAGAAAAAAACAAAAACAAAAACAAAAAAACACCCAACCTAACAATAATAAGAAAAAAAAAAAAACACAACATAAACCCCCTACTCACCAAGTGTTCAAATACATCTTAGTGAAAGTGCAGCAGTAACTATTCAGCTGAATAATATTTTGATGTTTATCATGTGCACTTGCTTGTCTATGATTCCTATAATACCTGAAAGCTTTATTATACAAATACAAATTTGCTAAGTGCCCTTTTTCTATCTTCACAAAAATGAAAAAAAAAAATTAGAGAGGAAAAATTATGACAAATATGGCAGGTTGCCTAACCTTCAATTATTAATCAGCTTATTTTTTGCAACAGAAAAAAAAGAAATGGGAGTAGATACAATCCAGCTTGGAAAAGTATTCAGGATATACTTAGCAATGTCAGACCAGTTGAGTGCTTTTCTGTGGTTGTATTTCAGGGTTTGGGGATTTATGTCCATGGCAGCAAACTGCTGGGGAGGCAGAGAAAATATTTATCACCTGCATTCTACAGCAAGTACATTTTGTGGTGGAGATGAAGATGAGGGACTCATTCCAGTGTCTGACGAAGCAGATGACATGGAGGCTCCTGCATGAGACACTGTAATCAAATAATTACATTAGATTCCAAAATGAACACACAAAGATATCAGCCACTGGCAAACTAGAAATTAAACTTAACATTATTCACTTCAAATATAGTCTGCTTAAATGGTCCATGAAGTAGAACGAATTGTTTGCAAAAATCCCTCTTGGCTAGTTAAGTAACATGACAATTAAAAACAGGCACCATAAAATATGAGACTAAAGGTATATAAACTCTTAGGCTCCTACTTGAACGATCTCAGAAAAAGGAACTACCTTGTCCCAAATCAGACACAAGTCCAAACAAAGATAAATGCTAAACGCTTGCTATAAGGAATTCCTATTTTATCTGTGAATCATGAACCACAGAGAATTCCTTTATCACAGAGAATTTCTTATAACCAGGTAATCATTGGTTTCCTATCTTTATCCTACCCCAACATTCCTACTGATGGACAAATCATTTCCATAAAGCTCCCTCCATCACATATGATACCATCACATAGAGGAGCAACATAAAGTATGGCTGTATGATTTTCAAAAAGTCCTTAAATGGCCTTACTATAGGTAGTAGGCGATTTGCCACTTTTTGTTTTTACTTTTTCTATGTAAATCTCTCTTATCTCCCATCATCTTTGCCCAATTTTTCCTATTTTAAAGTTTTAATTTTTAAGTTTTTCTGTGTGAATGTGTACTACCAGTATGGCATGTTGTAACTCACTGCAATTAATCTAAAATATATGCCAGAAGTTACTCAGTGCCTCACTTTAATAATCAAAAACTTATTATCACCTTTAGGAAATTCAAAGCAGTTGAGGTTCTCAGTAAATGTTTTAATTTGTTAATTTCCTCCACTTATGTTCACAAGTAAAGAGTTCTTGCAATTCACAATTTTTAAAAAAAACTGTATACATTTATTCATACAGAACTGGGGTACAGGCCAGAGGTACAGGGGGTAGAGAGAGGATTCACCAGAGACAGAGTGAGGAGCAGAACAAACAAATTAGCAAAGTACACTGCTGAGGGGAGCAGTGGATGAGACAGGAGAGGTCTGCCACGCCATGTGGGTCAGCTCCCTTGTTGGGGATAGAACTTGTGCTGAAGCAGCTGCAGCCAGGTTCACAGTGCTGCACGTTAACCCATTACGCCACCAGGGAGGGCCCATATTTCACAATTTTTAAGAACAAACACAGAAAGCCTACTCTTTCCAGCAAATTTCCAGAAATTAAGAACTGCTAGACTTGGAGTAGCATGATTCAAGAGCACATATGACACAGGTCATTCCAAGTAATTGTTCATCTCCTAATTCTGTAGTAAGTGGAAAGCATCTCTTAAGATGGGCAAGTCTATTAGGTGATTTACTTTTTTTTTTTTAAGGATTTATTTCTTTATGATTACAGATCTGGGGTACAGTCCAGAGATATGGGGGGTGGAGGGTAGGGGTAAAAGGATTCACCAAAGACAGAGTGGGGAACAGAACAGGATGATTGCTGAAATAACTGAGAGAGAAGCAGGCAGGTCATGAGAGGTCTGCTGCACCAGGTGGGTCACCTCCCTGGCTGGGGATCCAACTCATGATGCAGTGGTTTAAGAGAACCTCATAGTACTGCACTTTAACACACTGAGACACTAGGGAGGACCCTACTTTTGTTTTTAAAGAGACATCCCTCCTGGTAGCCTCTTCTATCACATCCTCTTCCTGGAACAGTTGCTGTCTAGGCCTGCCAGGTTGTTGTCATCATAGAGCTTCCAGTCACTGTCATCATGAATTATCCTTGATTTTTTCCTCTTGTAGGACTGCCTGTTTAAGGGATCTCATGCTGTCTTTTTTTTAAGATTTATTTATTTGTGCATACAGAACTGGGGTACAGGCCAGAGGCTCAGGGGCGGTGAGAGGCTTCACCAGAGACAGAGTGGGGAGCAGAACAGGCAGATCGATGAAGTACACTGCTGAGGGGAGCAGCGGGCAGGTCAGGAGAGGTCTGCCCCACCATGTGGTCACCTCTGGGGCAGGCGGGAATCGAACTCATGCAGAAGTGGCTTTAGATTCTCAGTGCTGTGCTTTAACCCGCTGTGCCACCAGGGAGGGCCTCATGGTGTCTTTTTAGTTTTGCTTCTATTGACAGATCTTAGTGGTATCACTGAGTAGCTAACATGGGATACCTGATGCCGAGACCCATTTATTTTTGTATGTACCTATATATGGGAAACTTTCAGAATCTTTATCAATAGTTTCTAAAATTTCATGATGTATTTTGCTGTGACTTTCCCCACTATTTTTTTCAATATTCTAACTCATTTTTTAGTTCAGGAAATTTTTCTTACAATATTTTTTTTTGATGATAGCTTTAGCTTATGTTTATTCTGTGATTCCTAGAAATTTTGTAATCCAGAAGTTAGATCTCATGACCAGATCCTATTGTTTGTCATAGAAATTCTCTCTATTGCCTTTGTGACCTTTTATTGGAATTCTTCTAACTTTATTGTCTACGACTTACATTAGATATTTATTTTAATTTTAATTTTTAGTTTTTAAGAGATTCTTATTTTCTAAATTTTAATAATAGTATTCTTTTGTTTCAAGGTTGCAATCTTTCCTACATCTCTGGATATTAATTTTAATTTTGTGCTTTTGTATAATATGTTAGGCTTTTACAAGTTCCCTTTTTATTCTTTTTAGTTTGGTTTGTGTCTTTCTAGAGAGGCTTTCATCAGATATCTGGTCTTGTAGCTTTCATATTTAAGAGACTTTAAAATATTTAAAAGGACATTTAAAAACTATGCATGAATAAGTAGGGTTTTCAATGATGGACAATTCACTTGAACAACTGGCAAGGACTTTGCTTTTGGGTGCAGGTCAAGAACCTCTCTAAGGGTCATTAGAATATTTCTCTTGGGTTGGCCAGTTTCTCTAGAGGATCCTTTGATTTTCTCCCAGGAATGAGCATAAGTTAGGATACTAGCTTTCATGAAGACAAGAGGATAAGTTCTTTAATTGAAAAAGGGATAGAAATCCTATTCAGTATTGCAAACTTTTGCTCAAGATCATTTACGGTTTAGCACTTAAACTTCATCTTGTTCATCTTGTTCCTGAGTCAACAAACTTACTAAACTCTCTCACCTTCCAATAAATTAAATCTGCTAGAGTTCAACAGAAAGGTAATCCTGCATAACAGGTGGGATAAAAGAATCAAATTTCTCCCATTTTCAGCATAATTCCAGATCCCTCCCTGCCTTAGAGCTTTTTTGGAGTTATGTTGTAGGAAATAATTTGCTGCTTCCTGTTTAACCTCTCTGCAAATATAACAGCCCCTTGGTTTTAACATTCTCTCATCTGCTAGGACAGTACAGTAGTCCACCTTTCAGTTTCTAAAAGACAGGCTCTTTATACCAATGCCTACATTTGGTCATTTCATTTCTTATGGCCCTTATAATATACTGCCCCACTAGAGATATGTTAAGATCTTTGAGATCAGTGTCTCATACATCTCTATACCACCTAGTTGAAGGCCTACCATAAGGTATGTATGCATTAGTGTTGTTGAGGTGAACTATTTTCAACAATATTAGCTTAGGAAATGACTTAAGGTTCCAACAAGCTAATGTCCTTGAGGATAAGCCAAATGCATATTCATTTTAGTAACTTCCATAAAGTTTAATATAGTGCTTGTTAACAAACAGCCAAAAAACACTGCACAAAGAAATGAAATTCAGAAGTAAACTTTCCATAACCAACACAATTAGTAAAATCACAGTCTGTAGAACAGTTCATAGTACTTTTCAAGTAACTCATTCTATCAAATTCAATGACTGACTCACTACAATGCCAACAAACAAGGAATCTAAAAACAGCAGTAAGTATATACTATTTCCAAGTAGTGACAGACCTCTATATTCTTGTGACAAACCTTTATCTTTTAAAATGACAGGATACAGATTTCAAAAATAGGGGGAGAAAAATTTTATTCAAATTACCTTCTCTGTCTTTCTTTTTTAATCTTTTCCGCCTCCTGTCGATGGTTGCAACTTCAGACTTCAGAGACATGTAATATTTCCGGATTTCCTGTAGTTTTTCTTGGAGAAAAGAGATTCTCTCTGTACTGTTCATATTTTCTAATTCATCTAAAAGGGGGAAAAAGTTAATTTGGATTTGTGGGGGAAAAAGTGGCAGTTCTATTGAAAGTCTAACTCATAAATTAATAAAAAAAAAAACCCTTTACTCACTGAAACCTACTATATTATGCTAACTAATGTTCTATAAAAAGGGGAGCCATTCATAAAGTTTTATATATGAACTACTTAATGATATGTTAAAAGTGAACAGAAAAACACACATAGAAAATCAGTATACACCAATGCTGCTCTGCAGTTGTAATTATTTACCTAGTTTCTGTGTCTCAATGTTTCCTCTCATTTATTAATTACTTGCAATTGTTGTCATTACCAGAAAGGGTGTTTTAACTTCACTCACACACACACACATACACACAACATATCTTACTTCATAATTGGAGACCCTACTTCAGTCAAATGTTTTATCTGGTATTATGAAAACACATGGATTTGTATTTAAGATAACAAGTTAAAGTTAGTGATAAGACAATATTTAGAGTATATACAAATAAATTAGTTTGCTAATCATTATTCCTCTTCTTAAAAATTTTGTTATATACCATTTTATAATATGCATTTAAGATTTTTATAAGCTTCTTACTGAGTTGAAAGCTCCATTTATATGTCCGAGGAGATGAATTTGGATGTTTTTCTCTGTGTTTTTCTTTTTCTCCATCTTTGATGTGAGGAGATATTCTTGCAGGAGATCGTACAAGTTTCTGTGGCTTAGATACACTAAGATGCTTTACTGGTGTACATTTACTTGAACTGTCAAGAACAGGAAGATCTTCACTATCACTGCTTTGTCCTATAAGAAGAAAAAAATGACTGAAATTACAAATGATAAAAATGTCAAATACTAAATGCAACAAATCCAATAATCCTACAGAAATAAATGCACAAAGTTTATAACAGTAAAAAAAATAAGAGAGGTAGGGGTCTTAATGTCCACCAAATGGACATGGTTAAAACTTAAATACTACTGAATACTCTGCTAAAGTTAAAAAAAAAGTAATCTAGGGCCTTCACTGGTGGTGTAACAGGTTAGAGTACAGCACTGGGAGGCTCTCCCCAGCCACCATTTCAATCCTCAGCCAGGAAGCTGACCTTGTCTTGCCTGCTGCTCCCCTCAGCAGTGTATTTCAATCACTCTGCCTGTTCTGTTCCCCAGTCTGCCACTGATGAATACTCTCACCCCCTGCACCTCTGGCCTATACCCCAATTCCTCTATGAATAAAAAAAAAAAAAAACTTAAAAAATAAAAGCTAGTATTCATAAGATCAAAAATGGCAAAATATCCAATTTGTAAATGAAAAACCAAAATTGTAAAACAATATGTATAGTATTGCCCCCATTTGTTTAAAATCAAACACAGAAACAATGCTGAAACAACCCAAACTATGGCTACACTAAAAAAGCACCCAGGGCCCTGAGAAGTTAAAGCCACTTCAGCATGAGTTCGAACCCTGCCCTGGAGGTGACCCACATAGCACGGCAGACCTCTCCTGACCCGCCCACTGCTCCCCTCAGCAATGTACTTCAATGATCTGCCTGTTCTGCTTTCCACTCTGTCTCTGGTAAATCCTGTCACTGTCCCTGCAGCTCTCTCTGGCCTGTACCCCAGTTCTGTATGCATAAATAAATAAATCTTTAAAAAAAAAAAAGATCAAAAGTACACATCTGGCTTTTTACAGAGAAGAAAATGTGAGCAGATACAAGTGGCTTGACATCCTTCAAATTTAAATAGACATGTTTTTGGTCTTCACTTAATTAGTTAGAATTCTCTATACATTTTAGTTTAATGTTTTCAAGCACTAAACTCTATTGGCACTTTATTTGCTCTCAAAAGCCAATCTTGCTTTATCCTGAGTAGGCAAAATTGAAGGTTATTCAGTTTCTCTGCTTTGTCCCTCCTGCATCTGTTCTTTTTGATTTTTTTTCCCTTCTAGACTCAAAAAGAGGAGTCTGTTTCTGGGTAAACCAATCTCTTCAACTAAACTCTTGAAACCATCCACTACCAGTTAAACTGTAATTTCCCAGTGTCTATTATCCATATTCTTATATCTTAAAACTATCTCTTTTCCCAGAGCCTACCAACATGCTTATCTTTCCCACCCTTACAGGTAAGAAAAGGAATCTTCCTGCTTCAGCAGGTACTGCTTTTCTTCTCTCTAGGGTCAAATTTCTTGAAAAAGGAATTCTTTTCCCCCTGATTCACTTTAAATAACCACATATCTCCTTTCTTACTAGGATCCCAAATATTACTTACCATATTCAATAAATGTATCTTAATGCTACTTAAATATTCTATAGCATTTGCAACTTTTTTCAAACCCACTCCATTTACACAGCCACTTGCAATTCTTCTAAAAATAGACTTTGTTTTTAGTTTATTTTATTAATACTGGATACCACTAATTCAACATTCCCTGAATGATTCTTCCAAAACCCCGCTACTACTCCTGCATTTCATATATTGGCTAAGTCCTAGTTATTTTATTTCCCATTCTCTGAATAAAAAAGTCCTACTTATTTTATTTCCCCTGTTACACGTAAGTACTTTTTATTTCTTATAAACAAGAACATTCTCCTTGTTAACAACAAATTACCCTAAAGTCTAGCAGTTTGAAACTGCAAATATTTAATGCACAATTCTTGAGTACAAAATCTGGGAGCTTTTGTGTGACTCAGGACATCTTGAGAGGTTGCAGTGATGCTACTGGCTAGAGCTATAGGCTCCATAAACCTGACTGAAGCTAGAAAGTACATGTTTCCAAAATGATGTGCTTATTTGCATGTATGATGTCAGGAGGCCTCAGTTCCTTACCATGTTGGCCTCTCCATAGATTGCTTAAATGTTCTCACAACATGGCAGCTAACTTCTCCCACAGCAAGTGATCCAAGGGAGAGTGAGCAGGAATCTGCAGTACCTTTTATGTATTCTTGCAGCTGGCAAACGATTATTTCACTAAATTCAGCCCATACTCAAGAGGAGGGCTTTGAGTATCATCAAATTTATGGCTGTTTTTAATATGAATGATACTCTAACAGAACCATAACAGAACCACCAAAATTAGAAAATGAATGCAGACATATTTAATATTATTTACTCAGATTCTGCACAAGTTTCTCTATTTGACCCAATAATATTCTTTATAGCAACAGGATTCAAGTGCAAATTACATACTGAACGTAATTGCCACATCTCATATGACTTCTTGAAAATGGAACATTTGCTCTTTTCTTGACTATCACGACTTTTCCTTGACAATATTTTAAGTCACATGCCAGTTATTTCATAGCATATCCTTCAGTTTGAATTTGGTGCTGATTCATCATGATTACATTTAGGTCATACATCTTTGACAAAAGAATCACAGCTCTGCCACTATCTTGTTGTATCTTTTCAGGTGGTACATGATTTCAATTTGGGCCATTACTTTGATCATTTGGCTAAAATGGTGTTCATCAGGCTTACCTACTATAAAGTTACTCATTTTCCCTTTGTAATATCTGCTACCTTTCCTGTCTGATCTCTCATCACTCTTCCTCTACATTCCAGACCTATAGCCCAGGCACTAGTTCCATGTGACTGAGAAAATAGGTTTTCACTTGAAATATCTTTTATGTAGCGCCCTCCCTGGTGGTAACAGGTTAAAGCATAGCACTATGAAGCTACCATAGCACAAGTTCCATGCCTGGCCAGGGAGGTGACCTGAATGTGTGGCAGACCTCTCCTGCCCTGCCTGCTGCTCCCCTGAGCAGTGTATTTCAGTACATCTGCCTGTTCTGCTCCTCACTCTGTCTCTGATGAATCCTCTCAGGCCCTCATACTTCTGGACTTTACTCCAGTTCTTATATGCATAAATAAATAAATCTTTTAAAAAAGTATCTTTTATATAAATTCAGTGTTTCTTCCTTGGAATATGTATCCATTATAACTTAAAATTTCCCTTTTAGACTTGTATGAAGGCATATTTAGAAGTAAAAATTGTCAAAACCAACCATTTTATTTCTTTTGTAGCCTACAACTCAATTTTATTCTTTTTTTTTAAGGTTTATTTATTTATGCATACAAAACTGGGGTACAAGCCAGCAGTGCAGAGGTGGTGAGAGGTTTCACCGGTGACAGAGTGGGGAGCAGAACAGGCAGATCCATGAAGTACACTGCTTAGGGGAGCAGCAGGTGGGTCAGGAGAGGTCTGCCACATCATATGGGCCACCTCCAGGGACAGGGATCGAATTCACACTGAGGTGGTGGAAGCCAGCTTGCAGTATTATGTCCCAACCTGTTGCGCCACCAGGGAGGGCCCTTAATTTTATTCTTTATTGCAGAAGTCTATTTTACATTGTAAAATATTCATTAATTTACTAGTTCCCTTGCTGGTTTTAGTATGTTCTTTACTTACCTATGTTTTCAAATTACCAGGATACAATCTAGAAATTAGCTTTTCTCAATTAAAGGAAAATATTCCATTCAGAAATACAAGCAATCTGCTTTTAATACTAAAACAAATGTATTTAAGATTACAAAATGTTTTTCTAATATTGAATTGTTTGAGGTAAGTACAAATAATACAGCTGACGAACTTTAAATAAAATTGACAAGCACCTTCAGATTAAGTATTAATGGAAATTACTATTTTCAGAATATAACAAATCTATTTTAAACTCAGACAAATAATCAAGCTAACAAACAGGTGAAAATTTTAACCCTATGCTAAAAGCTACAATTGAAAAGCACTAACCTGTCCCATTTTTTTCATTTTTGGCAACAGCACTTGTTCGCTTTGGGGCACGCTTTTGCTTTTTTGCCAGTAATCCACTATTTCCATCACCGGGTCTTTTCTGACCTGAAATAAGGGGAGAGAGCTTGAAAAAAAATCAAGAGTATGTGTATTTATTCACCTGTCTATATTAATTTGGCTACAAAAAATACTTCTTTTTTTAAAGGGAGGGATGACTGAAAAAAGGAAAATTTCCTAAAACTCAACATACTGATTTTGGCTTTAATACAATGGTTAATTTTCTCCCTAGAAAGTCCTTACCCTTTTCTCTGCTCTCTCTCTCTTGAACAGTTATGCTACAGGTACCAGAGGCAACGTTGGCTTCAAACCCGTTTGCTGATTCCCTCTCACAGAGACCTTCTTGTGATTCTTCAGCTATACTATCCACTTCAATGGTTATGTCACTCTCGCTTTTTATACTTCGAGACTCATCTTGACTGAGAGTAAGTGGTGAAGCTACTGAAAAGTTATGCTGTACTGCAGAAGGTAGTGCAGATGGAATAGAAACAAGAGAGTTGGACTCAGAACTTTCAACCACTACATCTTCAATACTGGTCTTATCCTTTTCATCCAAATCATCCAAATCGACTTCATGGCAAACCAAGGTTTCGGGTCCAATCAGAGGCATTGCATCCTCTTCCTCTTTCAGTGGAGTATTTATTGTTTCTTCTACTGGACTCTCAAATTTTTCACTAGTTAACTCTTGAGTGCATTGGTTTGACTCAGCTGTTAATGACGGCATTCCTTCATTTTCTATTTCAAAGTGTTGTTCAAAATTTAAGTTTTTAGTTCCCACAGGTGCAACACAATCACCAGTCCTTTCTTGGGATGCACTATTTGTTATTTCCATTCCATTTTCAATTCTTATTTTTTTCTCTGGTGATGATTGTCCTAGTATTTTCCGTTTCATCTTTTTTTCTTTTGCACACTGATCAATTTCATCTTCAGTAGTAGAAGAAAAGCTTTTACTGTCTAATGAAGATAATTCTAGACTCTGAGCTTCTGTATGTGGTTCATTTCCTGCTTCATCTTGGCTGCTAAGTGATGAAATCTTTATAATTTCTAAAGGAAGATCTTTTGTCTTGCTTCGTCTTCCCTTTCCTTTGGGAGATTTTTCTGCCTCTTTCTTAACTTCTTCTACTTGTTCCACTTTGTTCCCAAAAATTTGTACTATTTGTTCATTCTCTCCAACTTCTAACTTCAAGGTTTCTAAAGGCTGCATTTGAGTCCTATCATTTTCTTTTAATATATGTGTAGTAATCTTTGGATTTTCTTCAACTAGTTTATCATCATTTAAATTTTCATTTTTTTCTAGTTCTTCTTTAATCTCAGGAGAAAGTTCTTCATTCATTAAATTCTTTTCCAAAAGGTCTTCTGTCTCACTATCAGATGAACAAGAGTCTGCAACAGGAAATATTGTATTACTTAGAAAAGTTTTCATCTTAAGTACTAATGTAATTTTATAATAAAAATTCTACCAGAGACAAACAAACCTTTTATCATGTAATCCTCAATACCTTCCTATGGAAATTTCTAGGATAAACTATAACATACACTGGTGCCAAAATGGGCGAATGATTTAACAAATGATAAACTCATGCCATTCCCAGCAACATGGATGGAGCTAGAAGAGATTATGCTCAGCAAAATAAAGGAAAAAGAAAAATCTTGGATGGGTTGACTTAAAGAAGGACTATAAGGGAACCAAATAAGAGATCAGGAAAAATACAATAATAACAGTAACAATAATAATAAATGAAAAAAATTAACAGGCAACTATCAATCAGAGGTACTCTGCAAGGGAGGGGGAGGTAGAGAGATCAAAATAGGGAAGGGACTGTTGTGATGGTTCATGGGTGAACTGGTGGAAGGAATTTTATGGGTACTACACCTGAGAGAAGAAAGTATGCATTGTTCAAAAATGAATAATGATGTGAAAAATAAACACATTTAAAAAATTAAAAACAAAATTAAACTGCATATAAAATGTATAGAAAATATTAGTATTTCAATTCTGTAAAATGCCTATTTTACAGTTTTCATGAGTATCATACTTAGGTTAGAAAAAAATCAAAGGACTGCAACTGAGATGAAGTTAATATATTAAGTACTTTAACTATGGATGTAGTAGATGACTACATCTAGTAAGTGTGATGGCCACTTGTGTCCTCAGAGAATAATAAAACGTTCTGTTTAAAATGATTCTGGAATTCTACTCCTTGAGATATACCCAAAAGAAGTAAAACCTCTAATTCAAAAAGAAACCTGCACTCCTATGGTTATTGCAGCACTATTTACAATATCCAAGATACAGAAACAACCCAAACACCCAAAATAGATGAGTGGATCAAAAAGATGTGGTGTACATGCATGAACACACACACACACACACACACACACACACACACACACACACACACACACAGGAATATTACTCAGCTATCAAAAACGACAAACCTATGTTATCTGCAACAACACAGATGGAGCTGGAAGGAATTACACTAGTCAGAATTAGTCATAAGGAAAAAGATAAACAACGAAACAATGCACAGTCTGACATATATGTGGAATATAGAGAAACCAAAAAAAAAAAAAAGAGTCAAAACTAGCAGCTAACCATAGAGCTGAGGCATACTACAAAGGATGGTTCACTGATGATAAGGTGAAAGGAGAACTCTGGCCACTACAATGATGTAAGAAAAAATAAAATGATTCTGGAAAGAAGAGATGGACAAAACGAACTATTAAAAGACTGATGTATGGGCAAGCCACCATCTTACAAAAGAAGTCATTCTGTTTTAAGTCAAGACCTTTTAAAATAGTAAAGTTGGACCATAAAACTGTGTGTGAGTTATATAAAATACAGAAGTTGTTCCTTCATGGTGCTCAGATTCTAAAGTCAAAAAAGCAAAATTAAATGGATTTTATTAGTGAAAAGGTACAGTTTTTTTGACCATATACAGAATTTAGAATTCATTTGTATCTCATGTTATGTGGCAGTTAAGCAACACTACTATGCATAATTTGATAGGGTGTGCACTGCCAAAGGGCATGCAATATAACAGGGTATCTTTCAACTTCTGGACAGCTCACATTTGTGTATTGTGACAACCTTCCAGCAGATGTCAGTAAAGAGGAGAAAGGATGCCCTTTCATAATTTGCAATCAAGCATATGCATTTATAACCAACGCTGTATTTCAAAATAGTTTTTCTCGTGGAGAAAAATGTTTCTATAAGACAACTATTTAATGTTTTTTAAATTCATAGAAAATATACACATAGAAAAGCAGGTCATCTATACTCAGCACAAAATATTAAAATATGGTCATCTATACTCAGCACAAAACACGCCTATACCCATTTAGTTTGTGCTCTTTGAATAACAGTCTCAGCTTTGTTTAAAGATCCCAGGTGAACACTGCATTACAGGAGACACTTGTGCATGCTTTGAAGGACAGTGCATCACACAGTGGCTGCTTGGCTTGTCAAGCCACCCTGCATTCAAACTGAATACTCCTGCCATATTGACAAGAAAAGGTATTCCTCAATCAAAGTAAAACATTATTAAAAATTCAAGCAAAATGATAAAGCAAATCGAACATTTTCTTCAAGTCAAATTTTGTAGTTTAAATATGAGATTAAATACCAAGATGATTTTCTATGACTCTCACACAAATGAGGTTTTATTATTTATATTATTGATTTTTTAAAAAATCAATGATCCTCAAATTGAACACCTTCCATTTCATTTGACAAAGGAGAGCTGTCAGGAATACTGTTGTGAGCACTTCTAGTACCTGATTTTCCTTCACTGTTTGGAGTCTTAGACAAAGCATATAGCATGTTCGATGAAAGGGTAGATTTTAAAGGAGGTCGTCCCCGTTTTGACTTCTGTCTCTCCTCATCTCTCTTTTCATCCTTTTCACTGTCTTCTTTATTCTGGATTAATAACAACACAATCTATGAGAAGAGTCATACCTTATAAAAAACGAACATTTTTATTTATGCAAGGAAAATTTTATCACAAAGGTTAGTTACTTTATAAATGCCTAATTGCTTACAAAAAAATAAAAACAGCTTTCAAGCATATTTGTACTTAATGTGAATGAAAATTGAGCGTGGATAAGAGTTTAAGTTGCTAGTAAATTATGCTTCAAAATTTTAATTTACTACTAGCATCCTACATTTAAAATTGTCAGATTTACATTTTTTAAGTTACCGTTGTTTTGAAAAATAAGTCATGGGGTCGGTGTATAGCATGGTGATGAATAATAATAATGTGTTATGTATTTGAAAGTTGCTAAAAGTAGTAGTAAAGTTCTCACAGGTGAAAAAAATTGGTTAAAAAAATAGTTGTCTTTAAAATCCTAAAATCTGGCAACTCTGAGTCTACATTCTGCACTAAAGTGGTTACTTCAGGTGAGAAATAAACTAACCCGCTCCAGGTGAGAAATGACATAAGTCATCTTTTATTTTTGATCGTACTTTTACCCTTTTCCAAAATGTAGTTCTATAGGCATTTGAGTTTGATGTATGTCACGAGTCTCTGGTTTTCACCTTCCCTCACATAATACAGAAAAGTGTTTAGTTTTTTTACTTTTTCAGCTCTGGTTTATCAGTGAGAAAAATCATAATTAACTCAAAAAGGCAAGGTGATTGTTGCAACGATAAGACAAAATTTATTTAAAAATGCAATATGAATACTTATATCTATCAGAAAAAATATAAATCTGTGTACTTACTTTCACTTTTTTCTTCTGTTTTTTCTTTGGTCCACCTTTGTCCAAAGGCCATATTATCCTGTCAGCCTTCACCCATTCATCATACCTTAAAATAAATAAATCATAATTTCACAAAAATAACCTGTGATGTATCCACCAAACAAAAACAATAGTGAGACTGACTTTTTTTTTTTTAAGATTTATTTATTTGTGCATACAGAACTGGGGTACAGGCCAGAGGATCAGGGGCGACGAGAGGCTTCAACAGAGACAGAGTGGGAAGCAGAACAGGCAGACTGAGGAAGTACACTGCTGAGGGGAGCAGCGGGCGGGTCAGGAGAGGTCTGCCGCGCCATGTGGTCACCTCCGGGGCAGGCGGGAATCGAACTCATGCGGAAGTGGCTTTAACTTCTCAGTGCTGTGCTTTAACCCGCTGCGCCACCAGGGAGGGCCTGAGACAGACTTTTTAAAAAGTTTTATAGTTGCCAGAATGTTGGAGGGCAAAGGGGTTGGTTTGCTGGTAAAGGACAGCCACTGTACTAGGCGCTTTCTATACCTGCCACCAAAAGGACAAAGCAAGAGAATTTCTTAGAGTGAACCAGTGCAGAGAGACTCAATAAACTCTTAAGAAGACCCGAGATGACTGAACTGCTGTAGACCTGTTTAACAAAATAAGCTATTCTGTGATGGAGACCAAGTTGTGCAAAAATAAGGTAAATTCAGATTTGTAAAATGATCATTCCAGTATTTTATGAAGTCTTTTCCAGTTATAATTCTTCCCAGAACTCTCTAGCCTCTAAGTTAATTCTGTTCAAGTTCAAAACTCACTTCCTCTATACTTTTTAAGATGTTGACATTACTTTTGAATGTCAATAGTCTTAGAAATTAAATTTTCTAGAACTAAATAACAATTCTTACATTATGAAAATATATAGGTATTTACAGAGCTCAAACAAAATCTAAATATTTAAACAAAAAATGTAGATAATCCTTGCTTTAAACTATATTAGGTTAATGGGAACCATATTCTTGCTTTGTAACCTAGTTACTATAAAGTTGTACAAAATAAGAACCTGATTTCAGGTGCTTTTGGTTGATATGGTACCATAACTACCTAAACTATGGTTTGAACTCTTATTTCCTCCTGGATTAACCCAAACTCTAAAAAGTTTTAAAACAGGACAAGCTATGAACATTTTTGCCACATTCTGAACATTAACATAAAATGTTCATAAGCTATGAACATTTTTGCCACTCTCTGAACACATTAACTTCCAAATATGTTAATGCCTACAAATTTGCGAGGCACTGTATGAGGAAGTACAGACAAAAGGAAGGCTCTTAAATAACTCACAGTTTGGTAAATGAATGACAGACATATAGTTAAATCAAGTGTAGTCTGATGCAGTGAGAGAGTTAGTTATCTGGTACAGGCTAACAGAGAAGGAGTAAGTAACTCTACAAAGCATACTAGTTCAGTCCACACTAGTCTGGTGACCGCAGCTTAGCGTTAGGGTACTTCCAGCATAAATGTAGCCAAATAGGGTTATTCTAGGGGGGTCGGTGTATAGCATGGTGATGAATAATAATAATGTGTTATGTATTTGAAAGTTGCTAAAAGTAGTAGTAAAGTTCTCACAGGTGAAAAAAA